AACTGAGTGCCGCTAGTTCCAGTGGGTCGGAACTGAGTGCCGCTAGCCTCAGTGAGTCGGGCTGAAGTCCGCTGATCCCAGTGAGTCGGGATGGCGTGCGGTGCGCGGTGCTGCGGTGAAGTCCATAGTGAGTCGGGACGGTTGCTGCGTAGTGGCTGGCTGCTGCGTAGACGGGAGAGAAAATGCTCTTCTTACGTGGACCGTTGGTGCAGTGTGCTGTGCCTAGACGCTGATGAGGCCGTAGAGGTAACCAGGCTGGAGCGGTCGCTACCTGCGCGTGGTATCCCTGTAGAGGCCGAGGTTGCTGGCTGGTTGAGACTTGATTACTGCTCATCGCTGTGGGAGTGTACACGATAGTGCTGCTGATGATCTGCTCCTTTTGAAGGCTGCTTACAATCACGTCGGGGTCACCACTGTGGAGGAACGGGTGTCATGTCCCTCCAACACAAAGGGAGGATCCTCCGACCAGGCGAGGTGATCATGCCTGGCGGGCCGCGGCCCAACGATTGATGTTGGGAAGTTGTATATATGCTAATCGGCGAGGGAATTCTTTATATCGCGATACAGGATTAGCAATTCTTATTTTAGTAGTTACTCCGTAGTTCGGTGTGTCTTCGTTAGAGGCGCTGTAGTATGTTTATGTGGGAGTCGCCACACATATATAGATGTAAATATAATTTATACGAACTATATAATACTATAAATATAAAAAAAACATAAACATACACACATCTCACACACGGCTGTCTGACCCCAAACTAGGCAGAGCCTGTACTATGGTTATCAGACTGCTGATAAACATACTTATATATTTCTAGATACATACATATTATAGGTAAATTACATCCAGACACAAAACAAATGATCGTGCTCATCACACAAATATTTGTCCTAGGTGGGAAGCGCTCAGCGCTGTTCTACTTGATTGTACCTGTCTTGAAGAATGTTTTTTTTCTGGAACTAGGGTCGAAGAGACCGTGAGTCTCGGGTGGGAAAACGGACTAAAACTGTGGTGGCTTGTAGACGCCGGGGTCGCGAACCCGTATGTCTATATGGAGGCCGCAGGGCCTAACTGTCTACTATTATTAAATATCGACGATTTTCCATATGGTGACGGATTTAGAATACAGAGAATAATGTCACCACCCCTATTCATCCCGTGGGAGCAAACTACGCAGGACAACATCACTGCAAAGAGAAGGAAAACTTGAAACAAACCCTATACCAACCCGTTTGGCCAGTGTGGTACTCTAGAATAAATCCTCCTTTATAAGGAGATACCATATCCAGCAGTGGACTATTAAAAGCTGTTAATAATCCGTATCTGCGAAGAAAACAGAAAACCTTTAATATAAAGGTTTTCTGTGCGTTAGCGTCTGTGCGATAGCGTTCTTAAATAGAAAATTCTGGACTGCTTTTTCTTTTTATAAAATCCTGTTTTTAGAATTTCTCATCCCACAACTGAATTTTAGACTTAACTTCTCCATTTTCTCTCATCATGATGACAAACAGAGTTTGCTCCCTTAGTCGGCTCTTACGACACCTTTTGGACGAATAGGGGTAGTGTAAGTATTTATATGAGAATATAATTTGTGTGAGCGCAATATAAATTGCTCTTCATTTTTTTTCAAATTATACAGAATTCAACTTTTGCATGTGGAAAGTCGCAGGTTCAAAGTTTTCTAGTACTTACAGAACTAGAAAACCTTTTATCCGTGTGGTGACGGGTTAAGAATACAGAGTGTTACCACCCCTGTTCATCCCGTGGGTGTCGTAAGAGGCGACTAAGGAAGAAAACTACGCAGAACAACAGCACTGCAAAGAGAAGGAAAACTTGACACAAAGCCTTTTTTTGTTTTTTTTTTTTTTTAACGTGTGGAAATCCCCTCGGACCGTCACCCCTCCGGGGTTTGCGGCGGGGTGGTGTGTCGGACTCGGACCAACTAAAACCACACGGTGTGCCACTCTGCGCCTGTAACAGGAGGGATCCGGGAACAGCTGTTGTTAAGACATCCGGACCCCTCCTAGCGCCAGCCCGCTCCTGGTGCGGGCTCCGTCTCAATGGTGTTCCTCTCTTTAGGCGACGTCCGGCACACGCGGATGCCGCCCCCTCGCGGCTGGCCAAACTAATGCGGGTGGAGGGGAAACCCACCCCGTCCACCCGCGGCCACACTCAGGGCGGCATGAGGCTGTGATAGGCGGGCCTCCGCCGCCCGGTTCGCCGGCGGCGGATCGGGTCGGGATGGATGTATGTAATCCATCCCTATATGCCTGCATGATGAAGGCACGAAGGGCTATTCTCTTGCCTCTAGGTCCCACGATGAAGTTCCGGCCAGGAGACTCGCCGCCTCAAAGGAGACCGTGCCCCTTATGATCCTGATGGCCAACACTCGCTGCGGTTCTCATTTTTTTACACTAGGATCGTTTAAGTTTGTTTTAAAGGCAAGTTGTTTCTGCTGCCTTTTCACAGCTTGCAACACTAACAACGTAATTTTTGTGTTACAATCTCGTTTATTCTGCTTTCATTTCTGAATTCTGTCCAATCTAATCATCAGCATAGAAATCCTGTATAAGTATATCTCTTACTTTTTCCTGCTTAATGTTCTGTTTCGTGTAAATAATCTCTTTTAACAACAAATGCCGCCATAAATAAAATAAACACATTTTATCCAATATGTGTAGTATTATATTATTAACAAGTAATATGTCGAAAATCAGAACCGATATTATCGCAATAACATGACACGAGCCCAACGTGTAATAGGAATGATATTAAATAAAACGTAATTGGGCAAATGTTATTGTATCATTAAGAAAGCAAGTAAATGTTTCCATGTTCCATCTTTTTATTAATAAGTAGTTTGAAATAGAAGAGCTTTCTTTTCTGTTGTATTTAAAGATAATGAGAGCCAATTATAAACTGAAAACTTCAATTGTTTAACTGATGTTTTTATTAAAACGATACATTTACTTCTAAGTCGACTTCAAAAAAAGAACGAGGTTCTTATTTCGTTTTAAATTTTTTATGGTCACTCGAAATACGTGGTCAGTTTTGAACAATTATATCTGTTTATCGGAGTCTAGTTGGTCAGGATTTTCTTATGCGACAGTGATTTAGGTATTTCATACCAACATACCACCAACTCGTGTAGATATCTGCTGTCAAATAATACTATTTAATGATGTGGAACTAATGATAAAAGCCAAGGATGGCCACCGAAACAAATGCGATTTGAAAACTTACAATGTAGATATTAGTGAAGTGCCAAGAGAACAATATTTTTTTAAGGGGTGACGATCAGTTGTCGTTTGGGTATTTATTATGCAGGCTATTAAAAATAACTGGTATTTAAGCGACTGGAAAAACGGTTAAAACGATATTTTAAGATCATTGTAAAAAAATATCCTTCATTTATTCGTTGCTTTTCTCCGAGTCACCGAAGTCCCTTCCAAGAAGTAAGAGGAGTGGGTGTTCGTACCCAAACTTCCACTTCCCTTAACTATAGGGGGGGGGGGGCGTAGTCACACTTAGTACACAAATGATTAGAGATTGTCTCTTATGCGAGTGCTTTTAACATTGATAGCATCAACTAGAAGTTATGTAAAGCTATGGCTATCATAAATCTGTTTAACGTTTTAGTTTCGCATATGTGATATACGTGGAGTCTGCTCGGATTGCGTAGTGGTTTATGTTTCATGTATGTTTGTGATGTCCTCCGCGACACAGAATATAATATTCTAAATGCGGGAGTTGTCTTTTTAAAATAAATAAAAATATACCCAGAATTGTGTTGTGTACGCACATAACTAACCTAGCTGTGTAGGCAGACACAAGTATTCTCTTTAAACAACTGCTAAGAAATCCTTTATTTGTTTAAATGCATATAAGATGTTTCTCATAATGCCAGCATTATTTGTATTCGCAAAAGCTTAGCTAACATGTTTACCTCTTTATTCTTTTAAAATTAACTAGAAGATAGTTTGCCGGTAGACCGTTCATCCACACTTTTGTACTTAAATAATAATCGAGTGTATTTAGTATCGAATATATTTATATAATCGAGATAATAATAGTCGAGTACAGTTGGGGTTTCAGAGATGGGGTTTTATAGGATAAGACCTTTTTAAAGGATGGGCAACGCAATGGAATTGCGAAGGCCAAAGTGCGAGTTTATTTCACATCTACTCCATCGTCACAGTGAGCGCGTTCGGCGCTGCGATTGGTCGACACTGAAATCTTAACCAATCGCTGTCGAGAGTGGGTTGATGGAGGACAACTTTAAATTTCAGTGCGAACCAATCGTAGCGCCGAACGCGCTCACCGTGACGATCGAGTATAATTAAAATAAAATCGCACTAGGCCCTCTGGAATTGCAAGCATCCATAAGCCGTATGCTTGTTGGCCACCGGTGTGGTATAAAAAAGGTTTTACTCATAGCTATACTAGATATTCTATTTGTAAGTAGTATGTAAGTTATTAAGTAGATAGATATGAACCTAAATAATGTTTCGTATATAGACTGTTTCCACGTCTGCATAAAAAGATTTCGTGAAATAATATTGCCCCTTAAATAACAATAAATTTCTAAAGGAGGTTAAAATTTAATTCGCATAAAAAAATCGAGCACCTGTCGCGCTAAAATACCTACTGAAAGACAGCAGTAGTGGTGTTTAAAACTGCTTCTGCTGTCAGCGCATAACGGCTACTCGTATATTATTAAGTAATTTCTTTGGTCTGTATACCTATATTTTCTTAAAATTTCTTACTAGCTTTAAAAGGTTTTTTTAAGTCGGTTTAGTGGTTTAGACGTAACAGCTTAACAAATAAACATACTCACTTTCACATTTATAATAAAAGTATGGAAGCAGTTTTAACTACACACGCAGGAATTAACTTTAAAGTAATTCTTAATAAGTAGATTTAATCAACATTTCCCAAAAATTAAAATAATTATTAATATTATTATTATTAACACAAGATTATCTTTCTTTACAGAACCATGTTGCACCAATGGCTCATCATCACATTCTCGTGGTTCGGCTCCGTGAGCCTCCAATACATTAACGCCGGAGGTCCTGGCGCTGATGTCGGCTTTGACACCATGGACGCTCCACAATATCCCATTCCTTACGCGAACTTACCACAAACGCGCAACGACTTCGAAACCCTCCAAAACGACCCTCTCAATGAGCAATTCTACCAACGCGACGATGTTCTAACAGAACTCCAAAGAAAACGACGTACTTCAGACAATAGAGATGATATAAAACGATGGAATCCACATTTGGATACAGATAAAACTTTATATATACAAAGTACTGATACGAAAAATCCTTACATAATCGGTATTAGCAGAACAGTCGAGAAAAACGCAACAGCGAATGATATAATGGATACTATAGAAAAGAAATATTTTAGTCCATGGGGAGGCAAAAGAGATATAGAAAACATGTGGACCTGGAAACGCGCCAACAACATCCGCGAACCGAGCATGCCCAAACGAGTGCGTTTCAGCCCTTGGGGCGGAAAACGCAGTGGCCAGATGGTGTACAAGCCTGGCCCCAAAACCTCGAGGATCCTATTCGCGACATCAATTCCGGAATTAACGAGAATCGTATCGAAGTTCGCTCCAAACACAAATCGATTAAACTTTGCGAGTTTCCAATTCGTACCATCTGTAGACAAACGACATCCAATCAAAATTTTAGCTCTTAGTACTAAAACGAGCGACAGGACATTACGGGATGCATTACCATTCAAAACGTTCCTCGAATCGTTACCAAAGCTCTTTAAGCCCGGACACCCTTACGCAGACGTGGATTTGAAGAAAGATGGCAAGAGGAAGGTGAAATTCAGCGCGTGGGGAGGGAAGCGTTCGCCGCCAATAATCGGACCTATATGGACACCGGCCTCTGATGATTTAAAAGACGCGACATTGGACACTATCCTTTTATTAAGAAACAGTCAAGATAATAATAATATTCTTGGAGATGAACACAATAAAATAAATCAGGCTTCGTAATTTGGACTAAATGATAACTCCCGAACTTGCACTATCTATGTTGAGGTAGACATAAGTTTCTTGATATATATATATTAGTGCCATACCTATTTATAACTTCAAAAATTAAAAAAAAAATGAAAGTTCGGGAGTTCCGTGTCCCTGACGACAGGCTGGGCTCGTCAGAGACACAGTACTGATACATTTAAATAATAAGGACTGTTACTCTTATTTATTGTGCTATTTGTTAGTGAATATAAAACAGTATTAAGTTATCGTGACAATCATTTCTTCCCTTTTTTTCTGTTCGGATACCACCCACCGGTGGTTATATCGGACTCGAACCGACTAAAAACTGCACGCTGCCTCGGGTACCAGTTGCCGGGGAACTAGATATACCCTAGAAAGGAAATCCCTGAGTCCCCGACGTACCTCGAGCCATCTACGGAATGTAAACTACGTAACTACGGAATGTACTCCAGTGTGGGAACCCCCATGTGTTCTGTTCTCGAAAGGGCACGCGTGCTTCGCAGCGCGTCTTGCCACCTCCCCGGCCTGCTTCTGCTGGGGTGACAGATGGCCTCACCCACCACCCCCAGACCTACGCTTATGGAGGAAGGAGGTCGTTCTGCGACCTACAGCGCCTGAGTCGTCTGCGGTACCTGGCCCGGCGGGCCGGGAGAGTTCTAAACCTCTCCCGGTCCGGCCATCTCCTTTGCAAGCATAACTTGCTCGCAAAAGGAGACGGCGGAGTTCCACGAACTCTCGCTCCGTACCATGGCGGCAATCATGTTATCGAGCGAGAGAATTCCCACTCCGATGGCCGCCACGAGGCAACGCCTCTGCTCTACCCATGCCGGGCATTCTGCCAGCGTGTGGAGCGCCGTGTCCACGGTCCGGCCATTACAGTGAATCATTTCTTCCCTAGTTTATGGTGAACAAAGGTTAATTAATGGGTATGCTGTAGTAGAACCTTATAGGCTTTCCACACACTTCATATTTTTTCACATATGTGTAGAGAGAACAAGTCCTCGTGTTCTTATGAATCAATAAACATGGTTTAAAAGAATTGTTTTAAAAATAGGATATCGTGTTAGGTATACGTTTATCTTTCAAATGAAAACACCACATTGTGCGTTGCTTATACTGAGAATACTGACATTAGACTGTAGGGTTTACAGTAAAAAGTACCTTCATTTTATCACTGAGATAACATGATTTGATATCTACCAATATTTTGTTCTACATAATTAAATAAAACAAACAAAAAACCAAACAGAGATTTTTAAGAGAGAGAGAGAGACAGAGAATACATACTTCAAATCTCTATAATGTCTAATCATCTGCAGTTAAGATACACACACATGATTTACACATACGAACACAAACAACCATCTTTACTAATTATAAAATTATAATAAAGTTGTAGAGAATAAGTTTTTAATTTTTTTTGAACACGCTAATCTCGTAAACCATCAGTTAGATGAGAATAATTATTTTAGAATGGTATTGAGTCTTTATAGAATAGCTTATGACTATATAACATCACGCCAAATATATATCATCCTAATAATATATCACAAAAAAGTTACGTACTATAAATGCAGGTGACACTGCAGGACCTGGTTCCCCGGCTATTAGTACCCGGCGACGGCGTGCGGTTTTAGTCGGTTCGAGTCCGACATACCACCGACAGGTGGTATCCGAGGGGATTTCCGCACGAAAAAAAAAAAAAAAAAAAAAATACAAAAAGGTGACACTGCAGGAAAAGTAAGGTGTATTAGACACAGAGCGTGAGTAAATTAAACAAGAAGTATAAAGAATGTTAAGATCCCCTTTTAAAACGAAGTTCTTAATCGCGCGTTACACGCTCTGAGCGAATGGGAACGAAGTGTGTAACAAGACTTTTTTCCGACACTTCTTGCGGAACTTCGTTCCAACTGGGGGTCCGTAGACCCCTCACGCATTTTTTTTATGGTATAGGAGCCAACGAACAGCGAACCAGATGATAAGTAAGTGCCGTCGCCCATGGATGCTTCCAACTCAAGAGGAACCATCAGGGGGAAGGGGTGGGTTTTTCGTATGGAAGGTGCGACAAACGAGTACATGGGTCACCTGATGGAATGTGACAACCGCCGTCCATGAACGCCTGCAACTCAAAAGCCAGCCTATGAGGAAGGAGTAACCTCTTTTCTTGAAGGTCGTATCGGTTTGGAAATACCGCAGACGATAACTTGTTAAACAGATTGTGTGTGATTGTGTCCACAAAAAGTGTCTTGAAAAGCGCACAGTGGGTTCTCCGTTAACCTCACTCATAACATTGGTTTTCTGAAAGTGCGTGGTGTCACTCGTGTCGAATGAGCCCATTTGTGTCGAGGCATGGCTCTCACAAGGTTATTTATTATAATTATCAGGTAGTCATTGAATAATTTTTGATATAATATTTAATATGTAACTCGACAGTTAAATAACTTTAAGATTGCATAATACATTGATATTTTATTTTTTTATCAGAAACGGTCTATAAAACTAAATAGATAACACCATGGATTATAAATAATTACCTCATATTCTTTTGTAATCAATAAAATAACCTAGTTCATTACCAAATGTGTATTTTTAATGATGCCATTGTATCTATATGTTAATTAAAAAAGAGGGTTTGCTCATGCTGCTCATAATGCTCAACCCCTTAGAAACGGGCGGTTGTAGATCGGCACACAGGCGTATACCTAAAAGATTTTCGATACGAATTATTTTTATTTTGCTAAATATTTGATAAACCAGAGATTGTTTGCTATTGTGCGTTTTGATCTATGACTTTAGTCTACCTACGATTTCAAACAATAAAAAAAATGTAATCAAGATATTTTAAGTTAAAAAAAAAACTAGCAATAGTAGTAACTGCCAGCGTTCATTCCTTATTTTACCACCATAAAAGTCAAATTTCCAAAGTCCCTTCCTAAAAGTATTACCTGCTAAAATTTCAAATTTGTTGTCCCAGCGGTTTAGGCTCCGCGTTCATAACTCAGTCAGTCAGAGCAAGTTAGTTTATATTTATGGATAGAAAAAGATAATTGTGAGGTTAGTATATTAACCTGGACAAAGGGTACCTTATGTCATTTTGCTCTGCCTACCTTCCCGTAAAATGTGTATGCAAAATCCCATTACGACCGGTTGAATAACTGCTAAACTAAAGATGGCGTGAGAGCGTAACAAATATTTCAAATCCGTATTTATATTATTAGTTAGCAATGTTGGTTCAGACTAATAGTTACTTAATATAAGTCTAAACCTCCTTTCTAAGGAGAGGCCTATGTCCAGCAGTGGACTATGAAAGGCTGTTGATGAATCAGTCTAATAAATAAATTGCTCCTACCAATAAAAATCTTTGTCCTGAAAATCATAAAATGTGTTAGCCTGCGGCAGAATATTTTTTTATTTCAAGAAAATATTTAATATTGAACATAAAAAAAAATGTAAAATCATATAGGTATGGCTCCATCACCATATTTTTAAAATGAAATTATTATCTTAATTTCATAGATATATTTTTCGATTTGTTCAGTTTTACTAATGTAGTTTGGTTTTTTAAAAAAGCTCACATGATAATGAACTTAAATATGAGCTTTTTTCCAACTTAATTATTGGATGATAGGTTAATCTGTAATAAAAAACTGAGAGAAGTATGTGATGGGAGAGGTCACCAAGGTAACTGACTTGGGAGTCATCATGTCAATACTTCATACGAAACATCACGCAAAATGCTAATAATATTATGAAGGCAAAAGTTTGTATGGATATTTGTTGTCTTTCACGCAAAAACGGCTGAATATATCTGAATGAAATTTGCCACAAAGATAGATTATAGTCTGGAATAGAATTTTTTATCCCGAAAAAAATGCAGTTTCCGTGAGCTGAGCAAGGTACAAAAACAACCGCGGTAATACCTCGGAACATAGTTAGTTTAAATATAAATTGTCATATTAAGCTGAATGAAATATCCGTGGAAGCCATGCTTAAGAACAAATGAGCCATGACCAGAGTGATACTATGACCTAGCAAAAACCAGCTATTATTCAATTCTCTCATTGCTTTTATCAAGTTGATTACCGGTAACTGGAGCCAAACAACCCCCCGTCCCCTTGATTCTGAGTCTGGGGAGAGGGACTCAATAGGCAGCAACTCATTTATGACACTTGCATTGCCCATGGGTGGCGGTAGTCCCGTACCCTCAGGTAACCTGTCTGCTTGTTTGCTCTCTATACCATGAAAAAAGAAATTACTAATATAATCTGTTATATTTTCATACAAAAATGTATACAAAAACCATTTATTTCAATTCTAGGGGACCCAAAGTTATGGTAAATTTTTGCTGTTATGTGTCAAAATCCTATAATTATATAGTAGTAACTTCTTTGCCAGCTCTGCTCCCTTTTATCCAGAGTCAAACTATCTCAATACAAAATTTAATCTGAATCAGTTGAGTGGTGTTTGATTCCCCATACAATCTTCCACCTTTCTCACCCTTAAAGGATTATTCCTAGGATAACAACTATCCATGTCCTTTCTAGGGACTCAAACTATTTCTATCCAAAATCTCCTCTAAATTGCTTCAGTGGTTTAAGCATGAAGAGGTATCAGACAGACACTTTCGCATTTATAATATTAGTATGTATATTTTCTATACAGCTAATAATTTTATGATTCTAATAAAATTATGTTTATTGTAATGCTAAGTTAATAATATATAGACTGGTCTCACAATGATCAATTAAAGAGCCTGTTGGTCTAGTGCTTAGTGACTGCTAACTCTTAGTTTATGTGTTCAATTCCCACCCAGGACAAATGATTGTACAATTAGCATAAACATTGTTCTGTGTCTGGGTTAGATTCCCACACAGGACAAATATTTGTGTGATTAGCACGAGCATTTGTTCTGTCTGGGTATAATTTATCTATTCTATGTATGTATTTAGAAATATTTAATATATTTATCAGCAGTCTTGTTACCATAGCATATACATACAGGCTCTGCCTAGTTTAGGATCAGATGGCCGTGTGTGAGATGTGTGTAGTTATTATAATTGAGGAAAACAATGTCCCAAAGTTCAGAGCCCTTATGCTGGCCTAACCAAGTGCACAACACCCCCAAAATGAGTGTTCAGACTGCCCAAAGAAGAAACAGATAACAAACTTTCATACACAGTAAGATTTAGAAAAAACCATGACCCTCAGGATTGAGGATACAGACACAAGGAAACAAAATTTAATATTCAATACTGTATTTGAATAAGGCAACTGTGTAATATTACATTCCTCTACAGTTGAATAAACAACAAATTAATTTCACAGAAAGTTTAATAGAACTTTACACTGATAAGTTATCAACACATAATTAGATAACAGGGGTTGAATATTTATGTGTCAGTTATTGTATTAGCGAAAAGAAATTAAGAAAATTCTGCTTATCTGCCATTTTTTAACATCCACTGAACACTTAAGCGGTCCTTAGAATTATATGAACACCAGAATCAGTTTCAACAGGCCGACTCAATTGCCCCACCTTCAGTTTAAATGCTTCTTCTTCAAACGGAGCCTGCATTTGACCACGCCCAAACATACCCAAGTCTCCCCCTCGTTTAGCTGAAGAACAATCGGAGTACTTGGCTGCTAGATCGGCGAATGAAGCGTCATTAGCGACTATCTGCTTACGGTACCCTTTGAGGAGCTCCATTGCTTCTTCTTTTGAACGAGTGATGTTCTCTTCCCTCCAAGATGAAGGCCGTCTACTCTCAGCATGTTTCACCAAAAGGTGGCTGCAACGGACCTCACCAGGGTCAGCGGGAGCTTCAGGTCTTTCCCATTGCGACTTTTTAGTATACATGTTGAGGAAGTAGCTCATACCAGTGGAACGGCTAGTCCTCATCTCCCACCCGTCGGGTAAAGGTGCTTCGTTGTCTTGACTTGACATTCTGGAATTTATTGTGCAAGTTTTTTGGTCGGTATATACATTGAGATTATGATTATTGATTCATTTACATGTTACATCAAACTTTTTTATATGATTTGTAAGTTTGTATGCCATTGGAGTACTAAAATAAAGGCGTAAAGACATCCCATTCAAAATAAAACTTTGTTCACCATAAAACAGAAAATTGAACTAAAGTTTTAAGAACATAATTCGTGTTAACCTATAAGTCATTTTGTAATAAAAAAGAAGAACATACTGTGCAGACATACCTGACGGTTCAGCGGTTGTCGGGAAGAAGTAGGCACTAATTTGTACTTGAGATTACAGTTAATAAAACATTCAACGCCACATAAAATCGAATACGTTTCCACAAATTCGTCCCGTAGTTCGTTTTATTTGACAGGACGCCAATGTTGACAGCAATTTTTTTTACCCTGTGGTTAAGTTTTACTCTATGGGTTGAGTGCTGCCAGGAGAGAAAAATAAACCTTACTAGATAGATCAAAAAAATGTTCTACGACATTGTCTTTAAAAGATCTACAAAAAAAAAAATTGCCTGTAAAGTCGGTATACGGGCGAAAGTTTTACGTGACAACGACTATGTCTGTCTCTCTCGCTCTTAGGCGGGCTAACCATGCCCGATTGGAAGGGACGCGTGCCTCTCACTCGCTCTCATTGTGAGCGCATAACGTGAGCGGAGCGTAACGCAGTTTCTTGAAGTGTCACCCGGCAAACCAATTTATAAGACGTTGTCACGTCAAAAGTCCCCTATGGTATAGGTCTATCTCGTAAGGATAACCCGCAGTAACCATTTTAGTCTATTTACATTTTACAAAAACAGATGGGTAATTTAAGAAGCTCTTTTGAACAAAACAGTATTATTATTTATCCAAATAAATAACCTTTGAAAATGCCTTTGACAACGTATCATTAAAGTAAATACTTAGTAGATATCAGATTTCGTACCAATATTGCATATAAAGGTGTCCTGTAGTAAAGTCTAATCATAAAATAGCATAATTAATTACTATACACTGACACCACATTATTAGCATTAGTAGTATCTACGTTACACGCGTGCGAAGCCGGGGCGGATTGCTAGATAAATTATAATCTATGAATTTGTCCACAGTCTTTATAATGTCATCTAACTTTTAAACGATGGCGCAAATCTAAAGTGATATAATTTCTTATATTGATAACACTATTTATATTAAATTTTGTGTTTTAAATAAATACATTTTGTAAGCATATAGCTTACAAAATAATTATTATCATTTAGAAAAATTTATGAAGAAAAGGTAAATTCAAGAATGAAAAATATTAAGGCGACATCTATTATAATTATAAGTAACTAATTACAGTTCTTAGCAGTTACAGATTCCGCTTTGTACTATGTTGAAATTGAAAAGGTTAAACACAAATATTTTACTTGCTTAAACAAGTATAAATTACAGATGGCATTTATTGTACTATGTTTCACATTGTCGTATTACAATGGTTTTCAAACAATAGTCAATTCAATCAGAATCGAAATTTAAACTTTATTAACTAATCAGGTAAATTGAATTGGTTTTGTTTTAAACCAATGTTTTACAAATGAAGCAAATAAATCGACTAAACAATATTTGATAAAACTGATTATTTAATTATATTTTTAAAAAAATAGAAAAAAGAATATAGAAGAAGATAGGACGTTGTTTATGATTAGTGGTCACTGTGTTCAGCTAAAACCAACTGTTGATTCATTCAATATCTGTCAAGAATAAAGAAAACAATCTCTTTATAGTTTTTTATTAATAACATTACCAGAATTGTTACAGCAGATAAATACTCTAGATGCACAAATAGCGATGTTTTATCTATGTCGCCTAAGTAAAGAATTCAAGGTAGTGACCGGGCTGTCGCGGGCAGGCGCTGGGAGGTGTCCGGATGTCTTCATATCTGCTGTTATCGGACCCCCTTTTATCTCAGCTTGAGAGTGGCACACATCGCCCCTCGGCAAACTCTGGTGGGGTGACGGCCCGAGGGGGTTTCCACACGTAAAAAAAATATTCTTAAATTCTGTTAGTTTGGGCACGTTTTATGGATATTGGCAAGGTTTTCCAAAATCTGACAGCCTGCACTGTGAATGACTTGTCATAGAGTATGGTAGTGTGGCTAGGTACCATTAGCTTCAAACATTCCGATGACCTCGAGGATTTTACTACTTGAGCAATTTACGAAATTCAGTCACATGATCATATTTGCGTAAACCAAATATGAATCTAATGCAGAAATTTTGAAGGCGCTCAAGGTTATCAAGTGGCTCCTCAGTGATATCGAGATAGCTGACATCAGTGTAATCGAGTATAGGAAGAAGCAGAGATTCAGCTAGCCTAATTTTAGTGACCGGTGGTAGAAAGTTGCGAATCGTTCGCAATGAGCCCATCGATGCAACCTTTTTCTACAAACTTCAAGTGATTGGGTGACTATCAATCAGAATGCCTAGGTTCTTAACACAACTACTAATCGAGTTACCTAATATTACTTAGTACCTAAGATTTAACTAAAAAATACTAATTACCTACTTAGAAATGAAACTCAAATTAGTAAAGAACGATTCCTAAAACAAGGTAGGTGTAGGTACTTCTTGCCTTACTTTAATTTTTAATAATTAATCTATTAGTTTAGTAAGTTTAATCCGTTTTTCCTTTGACTTTAGCGCCCTCTTTTGAGGAATATAATAATATCTTGACACATCTCACACACGGACGTCGATCGTCTGATCCCAAACTAATCAGACTGCAGATAAATTCACTTAAATATTTGTAAATATTTTACCTAAATTAGAGGCGGACAAAGAACGTGCTCATCACACAACTATTTGTCCTTCCCACACGGGGGGGGGGGTCGTCTACTCGTCTTTAGATGGCCCGAGGTATGTCGGGGCACCAGGGACTTCCTTTCTAGGGTATACCTGGTTCCCCGGCTATTAGTACCCGAGACGGCGTGCGGTTTTAGTCGGTTCGAGTCCGACATGCCACCGATAGGTGGTATCCGAGGGGATTTCCGCACGGAAAAAAAAAAGGTGGGATTCGAACCCACGACTTTTGGCTCAGCAGTCAGGATCACTAACCAATTGGCCTGTCGAGTCAATAACAATCAGAACAATTAAATTAAAAGTGCAGTAAACTACTTATAACATTTGATGTCAATCTGTCTGTCCGTTTGTTTGTTCGCTGACATATTTGTAAACTTACGTATAAAGTTCATAGAAATTTCGAATGATTTTTTTGCTTATCTTATTGTATGGAGTATCATTGGATAGATAGTGATGATATCCTCCGCGACGCATCCGTCGATGGCGAACCCTACTGTATATTTCTGTTATGGGCTCGAATATGACTGGCCAACCCTAATTTGGTCTTAAAGGTCCTGTCACATGACACACAGTGCAGTTGATCTGCTGAGTTATAGGTGTATGTAGTTATACATATGTGTGAACCTTGCTATGAAATATGAATAGATAGTACTAACAGTCCGACGGTTATTTATAATGCACAGCATTTTAAAACAGCACACTGAAGTTCGCTATAACCCCATACCATCAAATAAGAGAAGAAAGGACATAGAATGCAGTCTGCTGCATGTCTGTAGGTCTGCCTAGAGCTAGTCATGCATTTGTTCATAGATTTTATATATATTTAGGACCTTTCTTGTACAATAAAATTAATGGGATACTTAATATATACAGCCTTAATAATAAAAAATGTATGATGATAATCTTATCAGAATATTTAAGTAAATTTAACATTGCAGACACAGAAAATATATTGGAAATTGTAAAATGAAACTGAAATAGTTTTTGGTTAATATTAATTTTCGTTATTTGCTTTCGTACGTGTGTACTTTGTAGTATTTTTATCTTTTCTATTGATCTATTATGTTTGTTTATCATTTTTACCTAATTAATAATTAGTTATCTATTAATATAATCTAATAATATAAGATGAAACACAGGTTTAACTTAGTTTAGGCAGGCGGCGACTAAAGTTTTGAACTAAATCTTAAAAAATCTTTTGGAACATAATATCACTCACAGATCGCTTTTAAATCGAAATGTCCTACACTGTAACATATATTATGTTATATGTATTAATTAATAAATATTATAGGACTATTTTAAAAACTTTTGGATTATGTGAAGACTTTTTCTATTCAGTAAGCCAGTTGCGAAATATTACACTTTAAGGTATTAAGTCCAGCATCTGACTGCAAGGATGGCGTAGTGGTTTAAGCGGTCACTTCGCCGTTTACTACTACGCAGAGTGTTGTGGGTCCGATCCCCACATGGGACGACACTTTGTGTGATCCACAAATTGTTGTTCTGAGTCTGGGTGTTCTTTGTGTCCGTTTCATGTATGTTTGTAAAGTCCCCCGTGACACAGGATATATTCTTAATAAAGAGAACTCCCGTAACTCCTCTGAAATAAACATGATGAAAATATATTAAACGGATTTCGAAGGAAAACTATTATGCCTTAGTTATCAGTATTATCAATAGCGGCTCAACTTGTAAAATGTGTTGTGTTTACACTTGAACATTTTCATACAAAATACATAATGTTTAGAGAAAAAATGAGAGTTGCAGTTGTTACTTCTTTAAATGATTGATGATCTTAAAATGATTCGTAGCCCTATGGAGCCCTACACATGTCTTTTTTACAATCTTAAATTACCGGGAGTATCGGCAGGGTGGTGTGTCGGAATCGGACCGACTAAAACCACATGGTGTGCCACTTTGGTCCTGTAGGAGGGATCTGGGAACTGTGGTTATTAAGACATCTGGACCCCTGCTAACATGTTTTAAACTATAATTCATGTTTTTATTTTTGTATCAACATCGGTCCTAGACACGTATGCAACTTGCA